TTGTTTCCCCTTTTGATAAAAAGCAGTAATAACTGTTCTTATTTGTTTCCCACTGTTAACTCTTCTTCCTCTTCTTCCTGCTGCATGCATGCCACGTGTGCCAGGCAGTCAGTTTATGTCAGCGATAGATACCTTTTCCTATGTCCAGAATTCATCACAAATGTGAATCCATCACAAACCCATCATAAATGTGATGGTTTCACACCCTACTCCCCCAAGTTCAGAGCAGGTTTTTTGGCCTGAGATAGAGCATCCCCTTCCCACAGGGGCTGTCGTGAAAGCCGAATCTTCCTGCAGGCCAGGCAGGCACCAATCCCACTCACCCGCAAGGAGCTGCAGGCTGTCATTAACACTCAGACTGATCATTTTGGGTGACCAGGCACCACAATTAGTCTTTCTCTATTTTTAGGTTTTGTGCAGACACAACAGGAAGCAAAGCCGGGGCTCTGAGACAGTGGTGGGGTCAGGATGAGCTGCTTGGGACCTCTGGTTGGATGCGTTCTCATGGGTGCTGTCCCTTCACTTCCTTTGGCTGGAGAACACTGAACCTCTAGGTTTTAACTCTCTCCAGTGTTTCATGTTGGAGACCACAAGTGGAGCTTTTGGCTCCTTGTGGCTGCAGGGTCCAGTCTGGAAAATGCCTGAAAGCTCCATCCTCCAGCCCAAAAAGAGTTGGGATTCTCCTGCTGCATCTCGGCCAGACTCCCACTGATCTGGGGTTTCTAAACCTCTTCGTAGTTGGCTCTTGAGTCAGGGCATGAAGATGTCCTGCATGTGACACACCTCCCATCCCTCTCTGCTGGCCTGTTCCCAGAGGACTGTCCCATCCTGGCTCAGCACACACATCCATGGGGAGCCAGTCCTGGGGTCGTCTGGTTGCCTCACAGCCCTGTTGTCATCAGCTGCGGTCTGCATGGTCCCAGGAGAGCAGAGCTGTCAGTGCTGAAGGTGGGGGATGCCAGTGTTGTGGATAATAGTATTCATGTCTTTTTGCTTCCATGGCAAATGCCCAATCTGTTTCAGGACCTCGTTTGCCCTTTTTTTTGGCTGTCACACTGGCAGCTTATAGCCCAGAACTAATGCACCTGGGACCTCCTGCCACTTCCAGCAGCAAAGTAGCAGAAACTACTGAATTCCAACACTGTGAATTTAAACTCTGTTGAATTTCCACTCCCCTGGTCCAGGAAAAACCTTCAGCTTCCCTGTTTGGTGTTTCAGTCTCTCCCTGCCACGGCGGCCTTTCTCAGTGCTTTGTCCATCATCAGTTCTTTCTATTTCTATGTCAACTCATTCCCAAAGTATTGGTCTCAAAAAAGTAGCAGAAACTACTGAATTCCAACACTGTGAATTTAAACTCTGTTGAATTTCCACTCCCCTGGTCCAGGAAAAACCTTCAGCTTCCCTGTTTGGTGTTTCAGTCTCTCCCTGCCACGGCGGCCTTTCTCAGTGCTTTGTCCATCATCAGTTCTTTCTATTTCTATGTCAACTCATTCCCAAAGTATTGGTCTCAAAGCCAGTCTTGGAGATGTTTTACTAGAAGTCTGCCTTCTGCGCAGCATTTCCCGTGTGAACGCTGCCTGCCTTCCAGTTGCTTATGTCCTTTATAGATCACCTTTTAAACTTCATCTCCTCCGACTGAAGTACCTATTTCCTGTGGTCTGCCGTATCTCAAGTGTTATATCTGGGTGAAGATCTACCAACATGAGCTTGATCTACAGGAATGGCTTATTTTACTCACAGATGAGGTTGCATGGGTACGAGCTGCTCTTTGCCAATGCTGTGTTGATTTTATTCCCCTATCCGCTTGCACCCACGTCTTTTAATTGTTTTCTTTCCTCCAGACTGTGTTCTAAAGCCGTGGTAATGCTGATGTCAGCCTAGCAGGCTTGTTGCTGCCTGAGCCCTGTCTCCAAGCCAAGCTCTTCAGTTCAGGCGCTGGATTTGCTGTTGTGGTTGCAGAGAACCTCCCTCCGTAACAAAGAGTCTTTGCCGCCAAAACAGCAAATCCTTTCTCTGGTGATTCCAGAAGTCTGGGATGGGCATGATCCAGCGTTTCCCTCGCCTCACACATGTCTGGCTGTCTTTGCAATCAGCTAGTACGCCTAAATACTCGCTTTAGCTTTTGAATCTATTCTGTTTTCCAAAGAGAGCTGGCAAGTCACTGAGACACGGATCGTGCTGCTGTGTCAGTGTCACACCACTGCAGGAGAATAGCTTTGGGTTTGATGGGGCAGCACTAAAACCTGGGCTGTAGGGGGAAAGGAAGGAGGGAGCATGTTGCCTTTTTAAGCTCTGAAGGGAAGACTGAAAGCATTTGTAGTACAAGAGACTCCACAATGGGCCTGAGCTCCCTTTCAGGCTCATCTTCAGTGATTTCTGGTCAATGTTACTGCCTTAGCATAGGGGTTTTTGGTCTCTTGTTCTGCATCACCCCTATTTCCTTACCTCATCGTTTGATGACACAAAGGACAAATGTGATATTTCCTTTCTTCCTGTCTTAGTGAGAAGTGTTTGGATTTGGATCATGGACGTACGCTGTCTTGATACTCGTTATCCAAGTGGTGATCCAGCAGTTGCCAAGGGCTGGTGTTTTCTTCTCCTCAGAAACTTGATATACCTTGGCTAAGTGATATCCTTGCTTTCGGATGCAATTGTGGCGATGCTAAATTTCCATGGATTACCACTGCGTGTGGTGGAATTTGGGAACCTCAGCAACAAGCTGTAAAGTCAGGAGGAAAGCCAGGATGCAAATATCTTGGCAGCTCCCCCATGATGGAAGATCCTGCTGTACTCAGGGCTGTGGTGCCAAAATGCAGCACCAACCATTAATTTACTCAGATGATACTCCCTCCTCAACACTGGCATATCTTTCAGTATTCCTTGGCCTTCCCAAACGCCTTGGAGTCCCAGAAGCATCCTAGGGGTGGGTAAGCCAGTGGCACAGGGGATGGGATGATAGACTCGCTTTCAGCATGAATGAGTGGAAGAGGGATGTGTAGGTGCCATTGCCCATCTGCACCATCAGATGGTTTGGGGATGCTCTGGGCACAGGCAGCCTGTCTCCAGTCTCCATTCAAGCACACATTGCTGCCTGTAGGTATCTGTAGGTATCTGATCCCTGCAGAGGATGGATGCTTTGGTCCTAGGGGCACACAGGCTGGCTGCTGCCCTCCACACGCTGCACACGGATGCATCTGCTGCATCCCCCTGTGCCGCAGGGTTTATCACTGTCTTCAAACCTCATCCTCATGTTTGCTTTTCTCCCTGGATGCTGCGTGCAGTGTGAGCAGACGGTTTCTGAGGAGGGGGGAGACTTCCCTGTGGTTGGAGCCTGTAAAAACCTACTCTTGGTCCAGAAGGGTTTGGCGCGTGCCTGGGGCAGGGATGGTGTCATCGCTTTGGAGAGCAGAAGCTGTCAGATGCAGTGAGTGTGGAGCACTGGTGTCCTCCCCCTGCCAGCTCTGGTTCCTCCAGCCACACGGGAGCAGCCTGGCAGCTTGGATTTTGCCTTATTTGCTTTCTCTTCCCTTTTTTCCTCCTAGAAGCCTGTACAGCGCGAGCACAGTGGGATCCCAGGGGGTTTGCTGCTATCCGGAGAAGATGCCTTGTTCTCTGCCAGCTCTTGTGCTGGAGGAAAGGCTGGAGGAAATCCATGTTGCAACGTTTCTGCTGGGGCTGTTGGCAGGAGGCATGCAGCGTGCAGCAGGCTCTGGCCAGGCTTGTTCCTCTGCCTCACAGCACTGAAAGGTGCATCCTGGAGCGACCAGAGCACAGCTCTGACTCGCCCAACCTCTGTTCGCTCCATGCTTTGCTGCAGATTTGCTTATTTTCACCCTAAAGAGCCTCCTGCCAAGCGAGCCCGCTCCGTCCCTGCCATGGAATCATAGAGTGGTTTGGGTTGGAAAGGACCTTAAAGCTCCTCCAGCTCCAACCCCTGCCACGGGCAGGGACACCTTCCACTAGAGCAGGTTGCTCCAAGCCCCTGTGTCCAACCTGGCCCTGAACACTGCCAGGGATGGGGCAGCCACAGCTTCTCTGGGCACCCTGTTTCAGTTTGAACCCATTCCCCCTTGTGCTATCGACCTGTCCATGTCCTATACCCTGGTCCATGAGCTGACCCTGCACTGGGTGCTCAAGCCTTTCCTGGGATGCATTTCCCTGCATCCCAGCGCAGCGCCAGCAGGAGCAATTTGCATTTCTAGCAGCTTCAGGTCAGCGTGAACCACCCGAGGGTTTGTTATGTCCTTCCTAAGAAAGGTTCTGGTTGATGCACGTGTTAATCTCAAAAACAAATGCCTCCACTTTGTTTTTACTAAATATAGGAGAAGCGCCTGCTGCGGTGCAGGGCACTTGCAGACAGCGGGGTCACGCTCTTAAACTAAACAGGAGTTTATCAGCCCTGACAAGGAAAGGGACTCGGTTTCAGTGCTCTCTGCTTGCACATTGGAGCTGCAGTGGGTTGAGTTTTCAAGGTCGAGCTCATTCTCTGTCTTTTGCAGAGGGCTGAGCCTGGAAATGTGGAACCGGGCTCCCCTGGGACGAGCATCTTGCATACGTTGGGTCTTGCGCTTATCTCTCGTTAGCACAGATGCTGTTTCTCTTTCTTGTGGGGTAACCGATACAGGGGATTGAGGAAGAACCCGACCTTTCGTGTTGAGTCACATCTCGATCAGTCCAGTGCTGCAGGAAGTGTTGTTTCCCATGAACACACAAGCATACAGGCTCTGCTGATGAAATCTGGTGAGGTCAGGCCATCATTTCCCCCTAATTACAGCTCCAGAAATGAAGGATGTTTAGCTTAGACCCTGGTGACTTTATGCTTTTGGAGCAGTTTTCATTTAAGCAAAATACAAGTACATGAAAATCAAGATGGGATTTGGATTTTTCCTTCTGGTTATTTAGGTTCAAAAGATGCCATCTGTGGCCTGTATAATGAATTAGCCTCTGTTTGGTGGTGGCCAGTGAACTAAAAGACCTGTTTTTTCTGTCTCCTTTTCCAGCTGCAGAAGATGGGGTTATGAGATCAGTCTGGCAGGGGAAAGCTGGTCGCAGCCCACTCCAGGCCCTCTATGAGAGTGACCAGGTAAGGGGACAGGGAGAGGACGATGACGGGTGAAGAGGGATTAAGGTGCCGGGGGTTGACCCCTTCTTCCACCCCTCTGGTGTGTGGGGCGCTGTGCTGCCTCCAACCACCCCATGGTCCCCACAACTGGACCTCTGACCATGGCCAAAGGGAAGGATCACACTACTTTGGGGTAATTGTTGATAAAAAACTTGGTGCTTGGGCAAATGGTTTCATTGCTGGTGGGCTGAGCTGGGCAAACCTGGGAGGTTTCACCATCTGAGGATTTCAAAGCTAACTCTTGGCCATCATGGTAGGGCAAGAGCATCATTGCTGCGCTTCTGAGCTAATAATGGATAGATGCTTCTGTGTTGGGTGCTATATACGTTTATGCACATGTGTATGCATAAACATATAATTATTTATATGCAAATATCTAACACACATGTAAAGCTGGACCCAGCCATGAGGGGTTTATAATCCTGGGACATCTCAGCACTCTCTGTCACCCTGAGCTGAGCCAGCCACACTTGCTGAAGAAGCCTGTGCAGGGAAATGTTCTCTTCTAGGTGGGTTTAGTGGGTCACTGGCCATGCAAGGATCTGCTGCAAGACAAGACACAGTGGCTGCGTGGCCTCCTTTCCATACAGGATGCTTTGTGTTACTGTCTAGGTTGATGTTTTTATGTCTATAAGCAGCCAAATTAACATTTTGGCTGGGAAGCTAAAGCAAGCGTGGACTTTCTTGGCCGTGGTGTCGGCAATCCCTAATGCTGCTGGAATGTCCTGGTGTTACTTCCTTAAAGGTGATAGTTAATTTCTCTGGCTCTTAAAGAGAAGGAAGTGGAGGGAGCAATTTTGCTCTGAAATAACTGCAAGACTTGCACTTATTGCAGTGGGTGGCTGTTGAGAAGTAGTCACATTTCTTTGTTGCCATGCCTGCAGACAGTGTCTGTCTGTCTGTCTCTCTTCCAATAGTTTTGAATTATGCAAGCGCAGGGAAAAACACCTGGAAAAAACCCCACATTATTAGAATGTGTGTTTATTTTTTTAACACTTGCAAAAGAGGTATCCAATTATAAAAGGTGATGGGCAATCGAGTCCTTCTACTGTGCTTCTTCAGCTGTGGTGTTTGTTAGGTGCTGTATCTTCTTCATATCCAAGTAGCCAACAGTGTCAAAGTCATATCTTGGTAGCAGTTACTGTTCATTAACCTGCATTTCCTCCACCTGAGCATTTTCCTTCATCATCTCCCTTTTGGAAGGAGCAGGGGTGGGATGCTTTCTCCTGCCCCTAACTCAGGTTACTGTCTGTGAGGTTCCTGGGGGAAGTGGTCACTGAAGTGACCTGAACAAGGTTATTTTGTTTGTGGAAATGAGGTCCAGAATCCAATAATCCATCCCTTGCAGGAGAAGCTGTTATGTTGCCACATGAGGGTCATTGCATTGCATTAGAGCAACATCTCTGTGGGGTCAGAGCAGCCCCAGGGTAGGAAACAAGTGGTGAAGCCATTTGTGGTTGTGGTTGAGGCTGTTGGAGGTTCCCACTGGTGATCTCAAGACTGAATGTGAAACCTCCCAACCCTCGTGAGCAAAATGGGGAAGGAGTGGGCAGGAGGAGGGGACCTTTCCCCTCTGAGTTCCTGGAAATAGTTTACTTCCCCAGATGTTTTACTGGTGTTTTGGGATTTTTGATGAAGACCATGACAGGAAAGGTCATGTCCCCATGTCTGGAGGGGGGAAGTCAATGCAGCAGCTGCCAGGCCTTGATGCAAAGGCCAGATGGGGTAAAGAAAAAGGACTCCTCATCCCTTTAGGCAAAGGAGACTGTGACCAGCTCTGAGGTATTGGACTAGCCTGTATGGAAGAAGTCCATCAGGAGAAAAAACCTGAAGCCCTTAAGAAGGGCTCCACCATCCCCTTCAGCAGCACTTCCACCATGCCCTGCCACTCCACCTCATGTCTAGCCCAGTACGTGGGGGATGCTGTAACAAATATTGCCTTTATTGACTCTCTGCACTACACGTTCTTCCCTCACCCCCTTTGACTTGTCTCCTCATCACATTTTATTCTCTCTTTTGCCCTCAGCAGGTCTCCAAGGATTAAATGCACCAAATCAAGCTGTGTTCAAAGTCAACACCATCCCCAAAAGTCCCACATGGGTGACTGCCAAACCCAGGAAAGAAGATGGGATGGGGACAGTCATGGGCCGAGTATTGTGTGTAGGGCATGATCAGCATAGAATCGTAGAATAGCTTGGGTTGGAAAGGACCTTAAGATCATCTAGTTCCAACCCCCTGCCATGGCCAAGCTGGTGACCATCTCTTCTTTTCCTCCCCAGTTTGAGCAGTCGTCGCTACAGGCAGTTCACCAGCAGAGACGGGAGCTGTTGAGCAACATCTGCAACCGTTACACCCGCAAACGGCGTCTCCTGCACCCGGATGACCTGCGGCACTTGGTGGTGGATGACACGCACGGGCTCCTCTACTGCTACGTGCCCAAAGTGGCCTGCACTAACTGGAAGCGGGTGATGATGGTCCTGACGGGGCAAGGCAAGTACCGGGACCCACTGGAAATCCCTGCCAACGAGGCGCACGTCTCGTCCAACCTGCGCACCCTCTCCGAGTACAGCATCCCCGAGATCAACCACCGCCTGCGCAGCTACCTCAAGTTCATCTTCGTGCGGGAGCCCTTTGAGCGCCTGGTCTCAGCGTATCGCAACAAGTTCACCCGCAGCTACAACACGGCCTTCCACAAGCGCTACGGCACCAAGATCATCCGGCGGCACCGGCAGGAGCCCAGCGACGCGGCGCTGGAGCGCGGCGACGACGTGCGCTTCGAGGAGTTCGTCTACTACCTGCTGGACCCACGGACACAGCGGGAGGAGCCATTCAACGAGCACTGGGAGCGGGTGCATTCGCTCTGCCACCCCTGCATCGTGCACTATGATGTGGTGGGCAAGTACGAGACCTTGGCTGAAGATGCCAACTACATCCTCCAGCTGGTTGGGGCCGACACAAGCATCAAGTTCCCGTCTTCGTCCAAGACCACCAGGACAACGGATGACATGACAGCCCAATTCTTCCAGGACATTAGCCCTTTCTACCAAAGGAGACTCTTTAATTTATACAAAATGGACTACTTACTCTTCAACTACTCCATCCCCTCGTACCTTCGCATCCGATGAGGCAGGGACTGGGGGGAGAGGTGAGGGAGAGCTGGGTAACTCTCATCTTGACACAGTTCCTCTCCTCCCACCCTGTGCTGATGTCTTGATTGACTTCCTCCCTATGCCCTCTCCGTTACAGTCTGTTCCACATCCTGCGTGGTTTGGAGGAAAGACACCTCTCAAAATACTGGGGCTGGAGCTTCTCCTTCCCTTTCCCTCCTGACCGTCATCATCTCCAGGGGATGGTGGTGGGACCAGACACTGCTGGGTAGGAGGGCTTGCCTTGGCTGGGGACTTTCTTTCAACTAAGACTCCACTGTAGCTCCAAGTCTTGGGAAGACTCCTTTTTCGGGCAGGATCCCTTGAGGTCTTTCCCCTCCTTACTGGGCTGTTTGAGGTGGACATGGCATCTCGGGGAGGGGGAGGGGGGCAGGGTGGACTGTGTCAGAGACTTGCATAGCACCTGAAATAAAGCAATAATTTAATGTAAGTTTTTCCTTTCATTTAAAATTGCTTCCACGTTTTCTTTTCGGCCTTGTTCTCCTCCATCCTCCCACAGCTTCCCGCTGGGAAAGGCAGTGGTGTGTTACTGTGACCACGCATTTCTCCCTGACAAAGCCTGGAGGGCTTTTTTGTTCCTTTCCTTCCGCATGCTCTCAGAGAAGCACGTGGGATGCAAAATACTCCAAGCAAAGAGAGGAGCAGGTTTGCGGCAGGTATGTGCTGATAGAGACATGGTGCTGTCTCCTGGACAACACTCAGTGCCTGGGTGTGTGTGAGAGTCTGGATTTCTGGTCAAATCCAGTAAATCCTCCTGGTTTTTAAGAGCAGGCGATGAGTGTTTGCAGAGCCATAAGTACAATAACTGTGCAGTGTCTGCTCAGATGAAATCACGGCATCCAGGATGTCCTGCCGATGGCCATGCAGCTCATCCCCTGTCTCTGTGCGCAGCCGGTGCCTCCTGCATGGGGTGACCACGTTGCACTGGGGGTGCTGGAACAGGGGACGTTATGAAGCGAGAAGACTCATAAAAGGGAGTTATAAAGTGCTTTGGGGAGCACGGTGCTGGGATGTGGGAGATTGCTGTGATAAGGGAAAGGTGATGCTTGGAATGTGAAGGCCAGAAGAGAGCGTGTCTGTGTGTACACGTGTGTCTTTGTATGAGAATACAAATGGGCACAGAGACACCTAGAGGAAAATTCCCCTTTGCCAGGCTGGATTTGGACTATTCCTTCCTTGAAGAAGGAATGGGGAGGAGGGGTGAAACACAAAAGAAAATGACAAACACAGCCTTAGGATTTTAAATTAAAAACAGGCCAAGGAGCTCTGTGTCTTTAAACCCACGTTTCAGGCTTTCTGCTTTGCTGGTTGGCTTCGGCTCAGTGGCTGCCTCTTTAAATAAACACGCTGGTAATAGATGCTGTGGAGTGTGTCTGCTGGCTGGGCTGTGAGCACTTCACTTATTAGAGCAATACAATGGGAGGGTTTATAAAGCCCAAATGCTCTCAGGCTCTTCTGAAACATAATGTTTTGAGCTAATGACTTTTGGCTGTTGTATCTTACCCTCTTTCCTCCATGTCTCAAATTGGCATCTGTGTGCTGACACTCCCTCCTTGGTCGCTGTGCTTGGAGATTGGGTTTAGCAAAGCAATGGAAAAGGAAATAAAATTGCTGGTGATCAGTTGGACTTGATTTTCCCAATCTGGAGTAGAGAGCTCATGGAAATGGTCTTTCTCACGACGTCTTCGTATCTCCCCATCTAGCTGGAATTCAAAGCATAGAAACAGATCATGTGAGGCAAGAGATTCCATCTCCAGCACTCAGGCTGGGTGCATTCCTCTTGCTTTCTCAGGAGTCTCCCGTTCCCCCTTAGCACTGCTTGGAAAATCATTGTTCAAGTCACCACAAGCTCTTTTCATCGCTTTCGGTCATAAATCATCCATCATTCGGGGTCGGCTACAGAGTCACAAAGGGATGGAGTTTTGGATTGTTTTTCTTTTTCCTAAATACTGTTCCCTGTTCTTAAAAGCTGATGGCCCCATGAGTGGTAAGGACAGACACACGGCTGCTCTCCCCCGTTGTGCTGTCTGTGGCTGGTCAGGCAGCATCGGGCTGGCCAGGAGCCCATTTGGGCTCTTTGGCCTGAAAGGGAGGGAAGGGAATGCTCTGGGCTTTGTCTTTTAGGCAGCTGGTTTCTAACCTTCCTGCTATGGCGGCAGTTTGGAGACAATCCCAGTTGTGAAGTGCTGTTTGATTGCCTGTCCCCCACCGTCCCCACCAGACCTGACCTGTTGCTCCAGACAGCAGCAAAGCCACATGTATGGAGTGAATGCAGCCCTCCAGCCTTAGGCGTGGGCTGCTGAGGGCAATGCCCTGCTGAGATTTGGTCTGCAACGGGGGTTTTGGGTCATGTAGGACCTTTGGAAATACCCATCTTTGGGCTTCTCTAAAAAAAACCCAACCAACAGCCACAATCCAACCAATTCAGGCCATACCCTTGGCTTTCCCCCTGACTAAACACTGCTTTGCAATGCAAAACCTGTCCATGCAAACAGAAAATGACCACTTTGTATTTGTGAGGCAACCACCTTCAGCCCCGCTCTGGAAACGCTTCATCCCTGCCAAATACCAGCACCAAGCACCTAAAGCGCTGCAGGGCTGGACCAAAACGGAGTTACGAGGACACCGTGTGACTGGTGACCCCAACTACAAGCATTTTAGTTTCCTGTTCGATTACGGGTGTTGGGAACCGTTCCTCCGAGGGCCTCCTAAGTTGTTTGTGGCTTTTTTAGTTGTTTCACTGCATCCCTTTTCCTTGCTAGAGGAGAAAATATCCAGGTAGTCTAGGCAGCCTCTAAGGTGTAATTCTCTTTGGTTTTCTCCTCTACTTTGAACTGGGAATGTGCCAGTGCCTGATGTGCAACAAGAGCATGAAGCACAAGATGCCTGGGGCTGCACCCCAGGAACATGGAGCAGGACACCTTCCCCTTGGCCCTGCCTAGCATCCTGCTGGGAGCCGGGAGTGTTTCCAGGAGAAAGACAGACTGTGATCTGGTGATGAAGAGCATAAACGTACCATCAGAATCATAAAGCTGGGTTGGAACGGACCCTTAAAGCTCATCCAGATCCAACCAGTGTTCAGGGCCAGGTTGGACACAGGGGCTTGGAGCAACCTGCTCTAGTGGAAGGTGTCCCTGCCCAGGGCAGGGGTTGGAGCTGGAGGAGCTTTAAGGTCCCTTCCAACACAAACCATTCCACGATTCTCCGATTCTATGTCCGTATGTGCACATATATACAATGTACATAACAATTCTGTTATAATATATAATAGAATTATTCCAAATAATTGAAATGCTTATAGGTGATAGTACATTATATTTAATATGTATATAGTATGTATTACAAGAATAATTAAACAGCATTTATAATTATACTTACATAATTATATGCTGGGTGATTGTATGTGTTTAGGATTATAATTATTACCAGCCATTTGATTTATATATGTCTACATATGCCCGTGTGTACAACATCATATTTACTACACAAATACCCCCAACATAAAAGAGAGAGGGCCTTCCCCACCTTGCCTGTTCCATCCTGCTGTGGAGCTGCTGAAAGCTGTTGAGTTTCTCCTTCCAGTGGAACAAAACTGAGCTTCAGCAATAGGGAGGTTTCCTTCCAGAGCTTGCTGTGCACCACAGATTGGGTTGTTTACCAGCTGGAGGATTAAATAGACTTCCATTGAAAGGAAAAAAGTATGTAAGTGCTTTCAAGTATGTCTTGGAAGCGGTGTCTTGCTTGAAGGAGGCTTTTCAGACTTGCTTGTGTTTGCTGGCTGGCACTTCACTTGTCCTTGGGAAGGATGCTGCATCTCGCACAGAGTAGTTTCTGGAAAAACACTGCATTAGAATGGAGACAGTGAGTGGAAGCTGGTGGGGAGAAAGAGGAATGCTTTGAGTAGCCCTGAAAACAACCCCCTGCTCCCATCTCTCTCTATGGCTGGAGACAGCCCCTTCTTTGCAAAGAGAAACCCTTCTGTATGTAGGAATAGGGAGCCCCCTCATCGACCTCTGTCCCCGATGCAGCTGGGAGGTCCCAGAACCCCGCAACCAGCACCCAAACACACCAGCCTTATAGAGGCGCAAGGCAGGCACCCGCTTTCCCCCCGAAACTCCAATGCCCTTCCTCAACCCCATCCACTGGCATGAACCTGAGATTTAGTTCATTGAAGGACTACTAGTGGCCTAAACTGCTCTGCTGGTGAAGTGGGAAGCCAAAACAAGGGAGAGAGAGAGAGAGAAATAAATCTCTATTGTCTCCCCGCCTCCTCCTGCAGCTGGGATGAGCTGCACAAAGCACTTTTCTTTCTAATTTCTGCTTATACAAAACCAGCCAGTCTCATTCTTCTGCTCACACTCCACATCTACCTTTATCCCCCGCCCAGAGATTAAAACAAGGTAAACCTTTGCCTGGGATCTCGTAGGCTTTGTTTCTCAGTCCAGGGCAAGCTGAGCCCACACAGGCAGGTCAGCAACCAAGGACTAAAGAGCAGCACGAAAAGGAGCTTTCTCCCATCTCTTCCTTTTTAAGGATGTTGCTTATGTGGGAGCTGTGAGGATTAAGCACAAAGTCCGTGTCAGCTCAAAGGGAGGTGCTGGTGACGGTGGTGGGGTGGCTACAGCCCAGTGAAGAGCTGGGCACAGCGACAACGCAGACACAGCAGCACAGGAGCAAGACCCACCACCAACAGTGACTTTCCTGCTGTGCTAGATGAAAGACAGAAATCACTGTGAAACATTCACACCCTGCCTGGGCTCTGCTGCCCGCACAGGTCTGCTCTGAAGCCATGTGAATTTTGTGAAGAAAAAAGGAGGAAAGCCACCCTCTTCCCAGCAATTCACTCCAATGCAACGCCACAGGGAGCATAAAACCAGGTAGGGCCTCCTGTGATGTTCCGAATCATAGAATGGCTTGGGTTGGAAAAGACCTTGAAGATCATCTAATTCCAATCTCCA